ACCCACCAGCTCAACCCACGGGCGTGCAACACAGCCAGGAGGCCCGTCGTAGGGTGTACAAGATGCCTACAAGCTTTTATACACATGGAAGATAAGATTAAGATTAAGATAGATTTTAAGATAGATAAGGGAGAGAAGAGAGAGAGAGAGAAATAATGGAGGCAGAGAGAGGAGGTAAAGAGAGAGAAGAGAGAGAGAGAGAGAGAGAGAGAGGAGAGAGAGAGAGAGAGAGAGAGAGAGAGAGAGAGAGAGAGAGAGAGAGAGAGAGAGAGAGAGAGAGATGCATACATAGATAAATAAATAGATAGACTGATAGAGAAAGGGGGGTGAAGGAGAATGAAGATCGAATGATATAAGAATGACACCATCCCATGCACCCCCAAAAAAAAGAAACACAAGCACTCACACAAGTATACACAAACATGTAGGGAGGGAACACAAAGCGAAAAAACAGGAAAAAAAGATTACCGAAGACAAAGCAAAGAGCACTCAACGGGAAAATGAGCGCAAGCCAAGTGGGACAAACAGGTTCAAGACATGTTCCCTTTTTATCAACCACCCAAGATAACGAAAAAAGACACAAACAGCTTAAAAGACGAGCATGAAAACAGCTCCATGGACAGAACGGTTCACGGTAATAGCTGATGACAGGATCCCGAAAGCAAAATAACCTGAGGTGACAAAACAAAACTGAACACAAAGGCTGCTCGAGGCGTCGGTTCAGCCCCAAATGAGGAAGAAAAGAAGACACAGGTCAATATATCAGCTTTCTCCTACAAAAAATGAAAAAAAAAACATAAAATAATAATAGACAAACAAATAAACGACACAACTAAATCTTGCAACAGAAAAAGAAAAAAATCCACTTGCAACAACCCACGGAAAACAGCTATTTGGAACACTTCAGGGAAAAAACAGCAAGACTCCAAGAAGATCTTTGCAACAACCCACGAACATAAAACAGTTTTCACCTACAACCCTGGAAAAAGAACATCCCTGTCTACCAACCAAAGGGGCAAAACGAAACTGCTTTCTGTAACAACCCGATCAAAACACACAATTCTTTGCAACAACCAAGACAAAAACAAAACGACAGCTCGACCCAATGCCCACGAAGCCGATGCATCCGCGTGGCCATCCTTGTCCAAGAACTGTAAGCCTTTCGACATTCAACGCGGCCTTTCGAAATCGTACCAGAGAGAGAGAGAAGAGAAGAGGGAGATAGAAGGAGAGAGGAGAGAGGGAGAGGAAAGAGAGAGAGAAAGGAGAGAAAGGAGAGAGAGAGAGGGAGAGGAAAGGAGAGAGAGAGAGAGAGGGAGAGGAAAGGGAGAGAGTGAGAAAAAAAGAGAGAGGAGAGGAGAGGAAGGAAAGGAGATGAGAGAAAGAGAGGAAGAGAGAGAAAGAGGAAGAGGAAAGGAGAGAGAGAAAGATGGAGGGAGAGGAAAGGGAGAGAGAAAGAGGGGAGGAGAAAGAGAGAGCCGGGGTAGCATCATCGTCAGCGGGAGTAAGGTGACCGAATGAGACGAGTGAGACGATGCGAGGCTGGTGGAGGACTGGGGAATATGGTGCGAACGCGTGAGAGAGCGGGAGAGGGGAGGTGAGAGAGTGTGAGTGAGGAGAGGAACGACGAGCGAGATGAGAGAGCATGAGAGGGGGAGTCGAGGTGAGGTGGTTGAGAGGACGCGAGGAAGATGATAACGTGCAGAGA